TCAAGGTATTGGTTTAAAGCCAACTCTGGGCTCGCATCAGAAGGCAGGAGATGAATGCTATGACCAAAGACTGAAGTTCTCTGTAGAGTCCGCAGCACTCAATAGTGCTCTATTTTCCTGAGGAGATATAAGACAGCCACTACATAATCATCACATAATAATCCGTGATTTATTATTATTTTTTTTTTGAGACAAAGTCTTGTTCTGTTGCCCAGGCGGGAGTACAGTGGCATGATCACAGCTCATTGTAGCTTCGACCTCTTGGGCTCAAGCAATCCTCCCTCCTCAGCCTCCCCTGATAGCTGGAATCACACAGGCACGTGTCACCATACTTGACTAATCAAAAAAAATTTTTTGTGTGTAGAGATGGGGTCTCCGTATGTTGCCCAGGTTGGTCTCGAATTTCTGAGCTCAAGTGCTCCTCCCACTTTGGCCTACCAAAATGCTGGGATTATAGACATAAGCCACTGTGCCTAGCCTACTCATGTTCATTGATATGGGAAAGTAAATAAAGGTCTCAAAGTAGAGGAAGAAAAAAGAAGGAAGAAGAAGGAGGAAGGAAGAAAAAGAAGGAGAAAGAGAAGAAGGAAAGAAAGAAGAGAGAGAAGAAAGGAGAAGGAGGAGGGGGGAAAGAAAAAGGAAGGAAGGAGGGAAGGAAGGAAGGAAGGAAGGAAGGAAGGAAGGAAGGAAGGAAGGAAGGAAATGACTGTGGCACCTCGGAATCTGTAATAGCAAGGAAAAGGGACTGTGTACACAGGTGGACATGTGCTCCTGACTTTTGGTACTGCAAGTTTCAGAACCTTTCCATGAGATATCAGACTACTACTAAAAACCTGGAGGGGTTATTCAGGAAACAAGGTTTGCCTAGTGATAGAAATTATCTGTAGACAATCATGGATGATCATTTTTTCTGAAAAAGAAAAATGGCATTACCTAAGGAAATACAAATGTGCTCATATGAAATGGGAGCTCTCTGGAAAGCTTAAATGTAAGCTTTACGAGAAAGATGAATAAAAATAAAACCATGAATGAACCTAAAAATGTACCTATGAAAGGTATAGTTAACAGAAGCTCAAAATGCCAGAGGCAATAAAATAAAGTACTACTGGCTATATTCTAAGCAAGAAGAAAACGAAGGGGACAGAGTAACAGTTTGGGGGAAGGGAGTGTAATGTTCACAGATGAACAGTGAAAAAGGAGCCCAACTCAAGATGGAACTTGGCTTGCGTCTCATAATAAAGAAAGGATGTTGGGCCGGGCGCAGTGGTTCAAGCCTGTAATCCCAGCTCTTTGGGAGGCTGAGGCAGGTAGATCACTTGAGCCCAGGAATTTGAGCCCAGCCTGGGCAATATGGTAAAACCTTATTTCTACCAAAAATACAAAAAAATTAGCCAGGCATGGTGGTATGCACCTGTGATCCCAGCTACTGGGGAGGCTAAGGTGGGAAAATCACTTGAGCCCAGGAGGTTGAAGCTGCACTCCAGCCTGGGTGACAGGGTGAGACCCGGTCTCAAAATGAGAAGAAAATGGAAGAAAATGGGAGGGGAGGGTAGGAGAGGGGAGGGGAAGAGATCTCCATACTGGTCAGAGTAAACAAAGAAGATGGAGCTGGTCCCTGACGGGAAAAAGGGAGAGTAGGGACTCTGCCACTTTCAATGACTTCCAATATTCCCCCTCAGATGACTCTCATCCCAGGGCACTGAAGAAACTGTTGGGTCCTTTCCCAGTGTCACATGGAAGCAGCATTCTTGTCCCACCATACACATACACAGTGTACATACTGCTTTCTTTTTTTTTTTTTTTTTTTTTGAGACGGAGTCTCGCTCTGTCACCCAGGCTGGAGTGCAGTGGCCGGACCTCAGCTCACTGCAAGCTCCGCCTCCCGGGTTTACGCCATTCTCCTGCCTCAGCCTCCCGAGTAGCTGGGACTACAAGCGCCCGCCACCTCGCCCGGCTAGTTTTTTGTAATTTTTAGTAGAGACGGGGTTTCACCGTGTTAGCCAGGATGGTCTCGATCTCCTGACCTCGTGATCTGCCCGTCTCGGCCTCCCAAAGTGCTGGGATTACAGGCTTGAGCCACCGCGCCCGGCTACTGCTTTCTTGAACAATATCTCTTCTGGGCTTCTCACCAATCTCATGGGCTATTACTATTACCTTCACTGTACACTGAAGCTCAGAATTTAAGTGACCTGCCCAAGGTCCATATAACCCCAGGGAGAACAAGACCAGATCTAGACCCAGGCCATCTGACTCGGGACCAGTGCTTTTTTCACTAACCACTGAACCTTTTTGCTACTTCTTCAACAGATCAACTTTTAAAACTCAAGCTATAAAATATTAACAAAAATCAATATTAAGTACATTTGTAGTAAGATGAATACTTGCTGGTTAAATACTTGTCAACCTGCCATAAGGATCTGGCTTTTCAGAAGTAAAATTTCATTTAATCTCCAGACCATCCCCAGGAAGGAGTTACAGATGAGGACCTGAGGCTTCCGGCCTTAAGTAACTTGCTTGGGCTTGACAGTGACTGACTGAAGCAGCAAAGGTTTAAATGTATTGGAATCTGTTCTTGCTCCAAATTCCCTATTCTTTCCACTACAACTGGCTGCTACCTTAAAGTGTTCACCAAAGGCTACTCTGAGATATAGACAGTATATGGTTAACCCAATTATAGCAATCAGAAAAGTCAATGGTTTTCCTGAGCCCTGAGAAGTCTGATGTTCCAAACACATTTTCATAGCATGTTCTACAGTCATGCTAACAAAAGCAAAGCCATTTCTCTCCTTTTTAGCCTAGTTCTAATCTTGTGGGAAGAAATACTGAGGGCCTGAGCCTTGCAGTAGTTGTGGGAATAGCGGTAGGCAACCAAACAAATAAATAAATATCTGATTTTATTCTGGTTCTTACAGGGGCTCAATGCCTACTATAAATCCCTGGGGCAAGCATATCTCCCTCTACTAAGGAATAGGACAGGAGGTCAGTAGGATGGAGGCAAAGGGAAGGCAGAGACATGGGGAAATGGAGACCTCCTCTAGACTTTATTATTTCCAGGATCTACTTCCTGTACAGTCACTAGTTCTGGCTTTAGAGGAGAACAAAGAAAGCTACTTCCATATAAATAAGAAGCCAAGGCTCTTCAGATTAAATTCATTGCCTAGGTTCACCAGTGATAGTCGCGATAGAGGTCTCAATGTAATAGAATCTGGTACACGACTCCCAAATGTACAGGCACAAGCACGTCTACCAGCAACAGCAGCAGAAGTTAAAAGAACCCTCAAGTAGCACCACGTGTTAATTCAACAAAGGTTTATCAAGCATCAATGACTAAATCGAGCAACGGGTAAATACTGGGGATCAGACAGAGAATGAGACAGCACCACGCCCATCTTTGTGGAGCTTACAGTCGTGTGGGGGATTACAGTTACAAAAGGGCATGCTCAGATTGCTATGGATACTTAAAAACCAGGAATGGAGTTGAATCTTTATTATGCCTTTGTATCTCCATGAATTTAAAGTGTTTCAAAATTCTAAATTATTTTATTCATTTTAATTAAAAACCAAACCACTACCACTTACTCTCAGGAAGCTCGGTGAAGTAGCAAATAGAATATTTATTCTAAGTCCTGGCTCTTGTACTTTTTGATCAGATACATGTCTTAACAAAACTATAATCCTGAACATGAAAAATCCATCACCAGTTAAAATTTTTACCTAAGAAACTTGCCTGCTACACAAAATGAGTCAAAGTTGACTGTAAAGGATATCATGTGAAACTTCATATGGAACAGATTTACTACTTTATTAATTCTAGTCCAGTGTGTGCCCCAAGAACATTCTTTACTAGAAGAATTAATAGTCACTACACCGTTGCACAGGCAGGTGTTCAAGACTTGGTGCTATTCTCCTACATGCTCTTTTCAATTATTAATACAGGGTCCAGATTGGCTCTTACTGCCTTCCATACCCCTAAGCTTCCTGACAGTGGCAAAGCTGGGATTCAAGGAATTTAAACTCATGCCAATCTACAAAACCAATTAAGTACACCAACTGCCTAAAACTCTACTTCATGCCCCCTCTTTACATCAGAGGTAGCACTCTTAATGTCTCTAAAGGGCAGGCAGGTAACACCGATGAACAACATGGCCGGTAATGCATACGCATCTATGGTGTAAGCAGGAGAAACGGAGTGAGCTGAAGGGGAGACTGAAGGGAAAAGCAGCTATTTGATTCCAATGATTGCCACAATGTATGATCTTGCAGTTTTCTTTTCTTTCTTTTTTTTTTTTTTAGACGGAGACTAGCTCTGTCGCCCAGGCTGGAGTGCAGTGGTGCGATCTCGGCTCACTGCAAGCTCTGCCTCCCGGGTTCATGCCATTCTCCTGCCTCAGCCTCCCGAGTAGCTGGGACTACAGGTGCCCACCACCACGCCCAGCTAATTTTTTTTTGTATTTTTAGTAGAGACAGGGTTTCACCCTGTTAGCCAGGATGATCTCAATCTCCTGACCTCGTGATCCACCCGCCTCAGCCTCCCAAAGTGCTGGGATTACAGGCGTGAGCCACCGGGCCCAGCCATCTGACAATTTTCAAACCAGAAGTTCAACATCTCATATATACTCCTGAATGTTTAAATGTTAATCTAAGTTTCTTTGTTGTTTGTTTTAAGAGCACTATGTAGGTCAAGCAGGTCACCAGCTCTCCACCTCTGCTAACACACTGTCCGTGTCATCTTCTGAACAGCACTAGTTTGGTATGCTAAATTTTGCAAGATTATTTTCATAAGTGTAACATCACTCTGGGGATGGGTGAGGCAGAAGATTCCTTAATGCCTTAAACATCAGTGGTGCTCTCTTCTTCAGGTAGCCTAGATGGACTCATGGACTAATGCCATGCAAGGTAGAGCTGCTCACTTACGATCATAAGATGCCTTTCTTCCCAGGAAACCACAGAACAAACTTCTTTTCTCTCCCATAGTAGTTCCACCCTCAGTAGGTGCTTACCCGTTTGTCAATGTCATTGTGCTGAAGCTGCACAAAACGAGCACTGATGGCTGCGATGTAACTCTGCTGATTGGAGAATGCCACGCGGCCAGCACCTTTGGGGTACTTCAGCTCTGGGTCCGTATCAATGCCAGCATAGCAGACACCACCGTACAAACGGTCCATGATCATTGCCAGTTCAACTGCAAAAAACAAAACAAAACATGGATGTGTATAAATATTTGGGAGGTACTCCTGCCCAGGAGAAGGAAGAATTATTTAGAGATCATGCAATGTAATTAAGAAAAGGAAAACGCATGTTAAGTATCAAGAAGACTGTCCACATCAGTCTTACAACTCAAGTAGGGAAGGTCCTAATAGGGTGTTTTGCAATAAAATGGAAAAAAAATTAGGAATTTACACACATACACACAAGAATTTATATAATCAGAACTTTAGCAGTAGTATTGAAGAAATGAACTACCAGTAATCCTCCTGTTCTAATTTCTAACTGGTTAGTCCAGTGGAATGTGCCTTGGGTAGGCAAGGCATTTCATGCTGCCCTAACAAGTTAATAAGAAACAGTCCTACTTACTAACCTCTAAGACTAAAAGAAATTACTAGTGTTACACTACTATATTAGGACTAAGCTATAGAAAGGATTAACTGCTTGTTTTAACTAGAGACAATTTATTTACAGCCTTAAAGTAAATCTCCACAATTTAAAAAAAGTAAAGATTTTAGAGTATATTCTAATCCAACTGTGAACTCTTCATACTAACCTCTCCCATTGAATTCTAAATAATAATACTAGTAATGATAATAGCCACAATAAACATTTACTGAGCACTTACAACCTACCACAGAGCACTAAGGTGCTACACAAATAGTAAAAACATACCCATGCTGTACCTTGCTATAGATCCAGAGGTGTGGCCTGTACTCCTTGTCACATTTCTTCTAAATATGCCTTTGTTTGTTTGTTTACTGAGACAGAGTCTCGCTCTGTCACCCAGGCTGGAGTGCAGTGGTGTGATCTTGGCTCACTACAACCTCCCCAGTTCAAGTGATTCTCCTGCCTCAGCCTCCCGAGTAGCTGGGATTACAGGCATGCGCCACCACACTTGGCTAATTTTTGTAATTTTAGTAGAGATGGGGTTTCACCATGTTGGCCAGGCTGGTCTTGAACTCCTGACCTCAAGTGATTCGCCAGTCTTGGCCTCCCAAAGTGGTGGGATTATAGGCGTGAGTCACCATGCCTGGCCTAAATATGCCTTTATATTGGTATAGTTACAAAACAATAAAGGTCCCATTAGAAAAACATGTAGCACTTACCTGCATACCAGATTGTCTGAAGGCAATTGTTTACTTGATAGTGGACAGCACCTTCTCCAGGTATGACCATTCCTTTTAGGCTACTCACATAGTATAAGTCCAAAAGACTCAGCACTACCCCTGGGAAGTGACCCAAGAACCTGTTTCAACACCTATATATGGTATTTGGAAAGGAGAAGACAAGGAAGACAGACAATGACCTGGGCCACAGCCAATGTGCAAAGATCATCACATAGTAGAGCTCCACAGCAATCAGTATCTGGGGAGATGGAGAGCAGCACAACTCTTCTCTTCTAGGAGAAGAGTTCTGCAGAATGTACAAAGGGTGAAGGGCTGAACAGTAGAAGAACTCCACTAGATGTCTATGAACAAAAGGAAAGCCAAGCATTACTGGTTTCTGTACTACGAAACTGCTGAGGCAGTAAGTAAAACTGTGTTGCTACGTCAGAGAGGCTATCTTTACACTTCTCCAAAAGTTCTTTACATACCAGATTGCCTATTGGTGACTATTTTCTAACTGCCTATTTTTAATAGGAAGGACAACCCATAACCAACAAGTAATTTTCAGAAGGTGAGAAAATAAGCTAGTAAGAACTAAGCCTAAGAGTAAGCGCCATTAAAGACAGAGCAGCAGAAAGTTATCTCAATTATACCACTATGGTCAGAATTACTAAGCCATATCAGCCAAGGGAGCATTGTCTGTTAAAGCCAAGTAGCTGCTTACTGCAGTCTTGGGGCAGGATCCAGGAATCACATTCATTCAAACAATGTAACAGGAATTGTGCGCATACCCTGAATATCAGAGGTCCTTATACTTCATCCCAACAACCTCTGATGGTTTGAGGATCTCCTCATATGGCTATTACTCCAGTAACAGAGACCAAGAAACTGAAGGCAGAATTAATTGTTAATTGCAGTCATTAATGCATTTCCCTTATTGGTTGAATGGGTTTAGTGAAATAAGTAACCTCAGGACCCTATAACTTAAATACTAATTGTCAAAAGACAAGGCTTCCTCTGTAGTGAAATAAGAGAAGTAACAATCTCCAAGCCTGGTGAATGGCCAGGAAAAGAATGCTGGCAAGGAATTGAATGGCACTTGTCTTCCACCATAGGAAGGACTCAACAAAGTGTCTGATTTAGAAAGAAGGCACATGAGTGGTAAGCTTGAAACTCCAGCTAAGCAGAAGAGTTACTGTAACCACAGATTTTTCTACACCACAGTGTTCTCCAAAAAATCTTCAGGATCTTCTGATGCCAGAGAAGCACAAACATTCCATTACTTTGTGAATCTATCTGTTTGAAATCATCTGCACGTTCCAAGGATTAGATCATGACTGATGTTGCTGGCAGTTAAGTACTTTTGATAGGAAGCAGAAACCCTCATCTGCTTATGCTCTTATGAAAACTAATTATAAATAAATAATTTCCATTTATGAACTTATATATAGTTGCTTTTTTGGCCACCAAAAAGTCTGCAGACATTTGAGTCAATTAGGTCTCACTTAAGTGAAGGGCAATTTGTTGAGAAGCTAGAAGAAACCAAGGTGACTTAAGAAGAGGTTTTTGGGAGAATAATATGAAAATTTCCCATCTCTCTCTCTACCCTCATCTGTATTTTAACTACAGAAAGTCTAATACTTTGACCACCCTTGAAGAGAAGTAAATGGTAGTCAAACAGCTGCTGTTTGTACTTGGTCTTCTGCTCAACCAGTAAGTCTTCATTCAGCATACTTCCTGCAGGCTGAACTCATTTAAGTACTAAACAGAATTTCTAGTCCTCATTTGAAACCATCCTCTGCAGAGGGCAAAGACAAAGTAGCTCCCAGGAGCATGTTCTTAACATTTCACCTGAGGAAGATAAGGGTACCAGAGCAGGGCATAGAGGTGAAGGAATCCAGCGTTCACATAGAGGTGAAAACAGGTATACAGTCCACGAGGAAGTCAAGACTTTCCAAACCATTTTTTATTTTCTTTCCCATCCAGACAGTGCTCATGGGTCTGTCTGGTCATGGTGGGAAGATGGCAGGTCTAATAGCTATGGTTCAAGGGTATACCGTACTTTGGACAAGATGCTCTGTGATCCTAAGACAACTTAAATTGTCTCATGAACAACTTCCATGGTAGCAGCAACACAATGAGTCTAATCCACATGCTGGCTCTTGTGATGAGAGTCACTGTGCTGCAGACTGGAGGGGCAAACTAGAATACTGCAGCAATGTGGAGCACATAGCATCCCCATGAATTCCTTTGGATTGTGATGACTATATCTCTGGAGTTGAATGTAAGCTTCAATTATGGTTCCTTGGATTTGCTCCTGATTCTTTTTTTTTTTTTTTTTTTTTTTGAGATGGAATCTTGCTCTGTTGCCCAGGCTGGAGTGCAGTGACACAATCTCGGCTCACTGCAACCTCCACCTCCTGGGTTCAAGTGATTCTCCTGCCTCAGCCTCCCAAGTAGCTGGGATTATAGGTGTGCAGTCACCATGCCTGACTAATTTTTATATTTTTAGTAGAGATGGGGTTTTGCCATATTGGCCAGGCTGGTCTTGAACTCCTGACATCAGGTAATCCGTCTGCCTTGGCCTCCCAAAGTGCTGGGATCACAGGCGTGAGCCACCGCTCTTGGCCCGCTCCTGATTCTTTACAAAGATGTGAAAGGGTCTTTAGTTCACCAGAGAGGAAACCCATGATGACTCCTCCCAGTCCTGCTTCACCTCACGGCCCTATTTATATCATTTAATTATAATATATTTCAAAGCCAGCTAAGGCAACATGTGAGCCTGAGATACTGGACAGCCAAATGAGATAGAGTGGAAATGAGGATTCCAGAGGAAAATAACACATTCGTCTTTACAGATTCTAAACTGTGAATCTAGAATCCGTATTTCTTCTCTTTGGAAATAAGGACAAAACAGATAGGCAAGAGGCATAGGGCACCTTAAGATATCAAAGAGGTCTCGACTTCTGAAAGCAGGAAGATTAAACTTGACGAGGGCTTCCTAGGTTTACCACAATTGTCAAGGGCAATTCACATACTTCAAGGGGAAGAAATGTGCTCAATAAGCTTCTGCTCTGCATCAGATATGTCGGGAAGTTAAGAATATTTTCAAATAGATGGTATGAACAATGAACTAAATCAGACAGAGTGCACTGGTACCAAGTTGACTGTTACTACTGTTACTGAGACAACACCTCAGATCTCAGCTTAATAAAGCATCTTTCTTTCGACCTGAGAAAGACCAATTACTCTATCTGAACTCTGCTTCATCATCTCTAAAGCACAGTCTACCACTTATAATCTCGCAAGGTTACTGTGAGAATTAAACATCCATGAGAGCTCTGGGCACACTGCTAAGGACAGAGTAGTATTCAAATGTTTAGTTTTGTCCAGGGTTCTTGCCCCACTCCCACCCTGTGAATCTCTGCTTAACATTTAAGTTGGCCTGGTTTCTGCTCTGTAAGTATCAATTCATCGCAGTGTTATTTTGGCTGTAGGCTAACATCACACAGCCTGCCACTGATATGGCAAAGTTTGACATCAGCTATGGATGAGGGTTTGCTTTTGGTGCAGAGGGAGGACACAAACACATACTAACATTAGAAAATCCTTATCCCTAAATGTAATACAGTTAATCAAGTCAGTATGCCAAATCTGGAGTTTATCCAGGACAACCCATACTGAACTTAGGACCTGGTGAAAAAGCTTCTACTGTTGAAAAACTTGATACAAGATGGTTTCTGCCTGCAACCACTTCATAAAACAACAATAAAGGATAGGGTTATAATACTCCTGTTTCCTAAATCACAAATCAGGATATGGTTTCTAATACATGTGAACTATGAAATGTTTATACAAAATGTCTGAAATAAATGATCTTAGAAAAATTCAGGATATATGTTCTCTAGATATATGCCATATATCTCTGAATATTTACTTCAGAAATTTTTGCCTCCCACAGAAAAACCATCCTCACAACAGTCAGGGCAGGTAAGGAAAGACAGAAAGAAATTTCAGGATTCATCACAGAATATTAGTAGGGGAGAAAAAGAAAGGAAAGAATTATCAGAGCAATTGTTAGGAAAGATAGGGCTGAAAGATGAACGAGCAAACAGTAGGCTGTGGGGACTCAGATGAGCACTCTCTCGAGATCGATCTGTTTTGCAGGGCCTAAGGAAGTCATGAAGTAAAGAACAGTTCATATGCTTCTAATGAGAAAGACTGAAAGTTTTTCCAGCCTGATCAAGGTTGGGAATGAATGGATCCAAAAGCTTGGTCACTGAGGCAGTCTTCCAATCAGATGCCAAAACCAAGAAATTTGGGATCAGAGAAATACTCATGTTAATCAACTGGGGAAGAGTACAGAGACCACATACCTCACTTCTACTTGTTCCTGGTGGTATCATAACCCCCAAGCCTGGCACTTATTTTCTGTCAGAGTGAAGAGGTATGTATTCTGGAGAGGTCCTAATGCCATAGGGATATGCAACTGGGCTATTTCTGTATGGAGATTTAGGAAGACATGTTGCTCATATTACGTGAATGAAGCATAGTGGCAACATGTTGTACTTCCAGGTGGCAGCAGGAGAAGAATCAAATTGCCCATTTCCCTGTACTGACTCTGAAGAATATGTGAGCTTTAGCCACATGGTGGCATGGTGAGTCCACTTACAGGCTTTCCTAATGTGAGGGTAGGGTGAGATGGGGAGTAGAAAGAAGACAAGATCTGATAAACACCAGGAGACTTCAGGCAAACCATCCTTGGCTTGCTATTGTCACCAATGGGAGTGATGAAAGGAAGAGACAGTAAGAATGTGGATTATTTGACATAGAGAAACCCACAATCAGGCAATAAGTAAGCTCATCTAAATTTTCCACTGATATTTTCCCATTTTCAGCTTTTCTTTTGTTTTCCTTTCCAGGACTGTGATTTTTTCCAACCTATTTTTTTTTCTTTTTTTGAGATAAGGTCTTACTGTCACCCAGGCTGGAGTGTACTGATGCAATATCAGCTCACTGCAGCCCCGAGCTCCCTGGGCTCAAGCGATTCTCCTGCCTCCGGAGACTGCGCTACAGGCGTGTGCCACCATGCCTGGCTAATTTTTGTATTTATTATAGAGACAGGGTTTCACCATGTCGCCCAGGCTGGTCCAACCTGAGTTCTTAAAAGGAAGGTTTATCAAAGAACCAGAAACTCAGGACAATACTGCTTAAAACAGGTTGCCTTTTCATTTTAGAGGTGTTTGTGTATTTCTGTTTAAAGGGATAAGGCCTGTATTCAGAATAACTATCAGTGATATTGGTCCTTGTGTTACAATAAGGAAATATCAAAGATAAATAAAAAAAAACCCAACTCACAAGATCCAAAGGAATAACACTTCAGTGATAACATTTTAGTCACTGTGACGTATTAAGGGATACTTTTTGGCCCTTAATAAGGTAAAAATCCACCTGGACATCTAAAATCTCACCTGTTGAGTAGGGATGCCCATATCTAGTCCATGATCACTCTGCATAAAATGCTTAAAATAGTTTTAGACTTTCGAAAATTCCATAACTAGAACATTCCTTGGAAATAATAAAAAATGCTCTAAAGTATTTCAAAACCAAATTTGAGAATCGTGTTAAAGAATACAATCTGGTCTCCAATTAATTCTGAGTTCACATTCTGTAAGCACATTTATTTTCTTCTGACATTTTTTGACTCTGTATATGATGACCTCTTTAACATGATAGTGGGATATTCAGTTTTGCATGACACATACTTTCTTAGTGCCAGTAATACAGTAGATGCTCAATAAATGTTTATCGTTCAAGTGAACTATACTGTATTCAATTTCAGCTTGTCTAGCAAAGTCACAATGAATTCTTTAAAAATCGTCTTCTATTCCAAGGTATACATCAGTTCCCAAAGCTCAGTGTGTTTCAAAGAAACCCAATTCCTATGATTATAGATAAAAGTTGCAGATGTTAACTTTTTGTCTTGATAACATGGCCCTCTAAACTAGAAGTCTTGGGATGAATGGTAAAATTCTAAGACAATAATATAGATTACTTTGCCACCTAGAAACTAGCTACGCTTAAGGGAACACTATCAGTAATACAAGTGATTTTAGATTACTATCCACATAACTATAAAACAAAACATTTTAAAACAAAATATTTTAGCGTAGTTGAAAAAAGAGAACTTCTCCCGGGCACAGTGGCTCGCACCTATAATCCCAGCACTTTGGGAGGCCGAGGCGGGCAGATCACGAGGTCAGGAGTTTGACAGCAGCCTGGCCAACATGGTGAAACACTGTCTCTACCAAAAATACAAAACAGCCGGGCATGATGGTGAACGCCTGTAGTCCCAACTACTCCTGAGGCTGAGGCAGGAGAATCGCCCAAACCCGGGAGGTGGAGGTTGCGGTGAGCCGAGATCATGCCACTGCACTCCAGCCAGGGTGGCAGAGTGAGACTCATCTCAAAAAAAAAAAAAAGGAACTTCAAATTATGAAAGGTATAGTATAGTATCTAGTCAGGGAACACAAAATCCCATTTCTTACTAGACAACTAAATATAATTCTTGTCTAATCCTAGAATTTGTGGCATCTTGCAGACAACAAATATTAAAGAATATAATTTCAGGTTCAGGGGTTCACTTCTTGCAGTGTTGGTGTGATCATACAGCAAGTGTGGAAAAGAGATCTTCACAGGATTTACAGAAGAAAAATGATATATAAGCCCTTACCTATCCTTCCAAATCATTAAAACAGGAAGAATAAAGAGTGAATAAACTTCTATGTCTGTGCCTTAAGATAGACATAAGAAGTTACAGCCAGTTCTGTTATTTTTTATAACTATAGGACTTTTTCAGAATATTTTTTCAGATTCCTATCTAGGAAAAAAAAGGAAAGGGGCTAGAACATAAAAACTCATTTGTGGCCGGACGTGGTGGCTCACGCCTGTAATCCCAGCCACTTTAGGAGGCTGGGGTGGGCGGATCACCTGAGGTCAGGAGATCGAGACCAGCCTGACCAACGTGGCAGAACCTTGTCTCTACTAGAAATACAAAAATTAGCCAGGCGTGGTGGCACACACCTGTAGTCCCAACTACTTGGGAGACTGAAGTTGGAGAAACCCTTGAACCCGGGAGGCGGAGGTGGCAGTGAGCCGAGATGGCACCACTGCACTCCAGTCTGGGCGACAGAGTGAGACTCCGTCTCAAACAAACAAACAAACAAAAAAACTAATTTGTGCTTGTAGTTAGTTGCAAAAGGAAAAGCTACAATACTAGCTATGATTGTCCATTTGTAAAATAAGAAAAAGGATTTCTGTCCCTCTCCACTCCTAAATATAACACTAGTTAGAAAAATTCAGAAATATTCCACAACACCCCCATCATTTTTTTTAAAAGCACAAACAGTTTACAAACAAAGGTCTGCATTTGCCCCCATCTCATAATGCTTTTCACATTTGAATTAGCCCTTCTTAGACTTTCTTCTCCGACTGCAGATAAAAGGGAAGCATCTCTGCTGCTTTGCTTTCTACCTTTTGTTTGATAGTTTTCCATTGGAATGAAGAAAATAAGACCCAGTCAGAAAAAATATGTTTAAAAGTCCTTCAAAATGAAATTATTAATGTCTTTATTTAGGTTTAAAGTTATCTTTTAGGTGTAGCCTGGAGATGGGATTTGGATAAATATGTTAGAAATGTTGAGGAACTTTCAGAATTAAGAAGTCACGAAAGTCATACAGCTAAATAACGTTAGGTTACATTTTATAATTCTGTTTCACAACATGATTTTAATGATCTCTGCTTTTTGTTTTAATTTTTAGGTAGAACTAAGTCTATGTGCATATAAATAACACAAAAGAAATGTACTTTCACAACTACAGTGGCAACAGTAACATTTTTTGTTTTACTTTAAAAAAATAAACTTAATTATTCTAAGTGCTTCAAAAACTTAGATCTTAGAAATAATTTTGTTATACTCCACTGGCATTAATACTGGTTATTAGGAGGCTGATGCACAGCTGATTGGATTTGTCTTTGGATTTAAATATGTATTGAAGCCATCAGTTCAACAACACTTCAAACTCTCCATCAATTATGATTCTGCTCAAATCAAGCAGCACAATTATTTCATCATTGGAAAGTAACTTAAAAAAAAAACAACAGGGAAGCTTTAAAAAAGACAGATTTCTGTCATACATAACAATGCTGACTGGCATAAGAATGCACACTGCCAAATGTGTTATTATTTTTTACATAAGGGATTAAATAGGAAAGCACTAAATAAAATTCATTTTTTCAACATAACTGTTTAATGAAATTCACTTTTGCACCATAACAAAATAGAGCATTTTGGGAGAAAACCTTTAATCCTGAAAAAGCTCAGTGAAAACGACAACAGCCTTCTTTTTGGAGACTATGTATAGCTCACTGGAAACCTAGAAAATATTTAAGACTAAAGGCATTGGGGATTTTGTTGTTGTTGGTTTTGTTGTTGTGGTGTTACTATTTCCACTCACCAGCTCGAAGGGGTCGTGGAACTCCCCCAACAAAGATAGTTTTTCTGGGGTCCAAAGGCTGAGAACCATCCATTACAAAGTCACTGTCACTTAGGTTCCATGGTCGAATTTGCACCTGAAAAAAAGTCGTTTACTTGGTCCTTACTTCATTTCCAGCAACCCCAAATGAGAATAAGATGACTAAAGACAAACCCACTGATTTGTGCATTTCACAATGAACATGACCCAAACAAAATCCAGTTAATTAGTTAATGTAATCCGCATTAAGTACCTTTCAATAGATCTCTTGGGGAATCTACTTACAGGTACTGTACTCAGCACTCTAGACATATGACATATAACATGAAACCACTGGAAACCACCTCTGCCTGTGTTTTTTTTTATTGTAAGGCAGGCTTTTAGAGACAGTCTGCATTTTGAATCAGATTCATTTTAACACACGATAGAGACTGTTTACAATGTGTCACAATACACCACTTTGTTTTAAGAGTTCATCTAAAGTACATCAGGAGTATTTTCTAAAAATTATCCATGTCTGACTTTTTAATTCTCATCACCTTCCAAATTCAAACATATCTTTCAGCAATATGATTTAATACAGATTAACACGCAGCAAGTTAGCATAGAATTACCAGAGATAACAATATAGCACAAAGAGAGTACTCTCTGGCCAGGCACGGTGGCTCACACCTGTAATCCCAGCGCTTTGGAAGGCCGAGGAAGATGGATTCCTTAAGGTCAGGAGTTCGAGATCAGCCTGGCCAACATGGTGAAACCCTGTCTCTACTGAAAATACAAAAACTAGCTGGGTGTAGTGGCTCACATCTATAGTCCCAGCTACTCAGGAGGCTGAGGCATGAGAATCACTTGAACCCAGCAGGTAGAGGTTGCAGTGAGCTGAGATCGCGCCACTGCACTGCAGCCTGGGTGACAGAGCAAGACTGCCTCCGGAAAAAAAAAAAGAGAGAGAGAGATATCTCTTTTGGATTTATCTGATTTTGACAAACGAGGCTGGTTAAATAAAAGCAAGCCTCAAAGTTTAAGTAAATTTTGTTTAAAGCAGAAAAAGAAATCTTTGTGGCATATTTCTATTTGGTCATTTTTCTTAACTGGGACTCTGACTTAGTGCCCATAGTTTGTACTATTTTATCACAGAGTAAAAAATAAGGTATTTCATTAGAATTTTAACCTTAAAACATGAGCCTTTATGTATATGATTTTATACATGAAACCTTAAAACATGTTATCAAAGAATAGCTTAAAACAAAACAAAAACACAAAAACATCCTCCTGCATGAGAAGGCAAATTCTGCACTGCCTCAAAACCAACCAGTTAGGCAAGTAGCCAATATGCTCTGAGAAGCGGGCTGGGTGCAGAAAGGGAACCTGGTATCTGTCCTCAAGGAACATGCCATTCCCCCTCCCCTCCACCAATGACTAAGATAGAAAACAAAAAAGTTGACTTTTCATTTCCTTAGTATTAATGGAATTGTTCATTTTCCCCCTTGCTCAGACATCAACACTCAATGCAAAGAAACATATGGGATAATTTCGTATGTGGCTTGGCTTATACCCAGGAGTACTCCCACTTGAAAGGTAGCACCTGTGGCAATTATACTTTCAAAAATTTTGAATTAACTTTAAAACTGGAATTGCTCAGTTAGAAATAGTCTACTTTTTTTTTTTTCTTTTTTTTTTTTTTGGAGATGGAGTTTCTCCTTTTTGCCCAGGCTGGAGTAAAGTGGCACCATCTTGGCTCATGCAACCTCCAACCCCTGGGTTCAAGAGAATTCTCCTGCCTTGGCCTCCCAAGTAGCTGGGATTACAGGTGACCACGACCACACCCAGCTAATTTTTGTATTTTTAGTAGAGACAAGGTTTCACCATGTTGGCCAGCTGGTCTCAAACTCTTAACCTCAGGGGATCTACCCGCTTCGGCCTCCCAAAGTGTTAGGATTACAGGCATGAGCCACCGTGCCTGGCCAGTCTACACATTCTTTAAGATTGCTAAAAAAATTCACCCTCACCTAACTTTTTGCCTTTATTATTATTATTTGAGACAAGAGTGTTGCCTTATTGCCCAGGCTGGAGTGCAGTGGCATTATCTTGGCTCACTGCAACCTCTGTCTCCTGGGTTCAAATGATTCTCGTGACTCAGCCTCCTGAGTAGTTGGAATTATAGGCACCTGCCACCACACCTGGGTAATTCTTATATTTTTAGCAGAGACAGGGTTTCGCCATGTTGGCCAGGGTGGTCTCAAACTCCTGACCTCAAGAGATCTGCCCACCTCGGCCTCCCAAAGGGCTGGGATAACTGGAGCGAGCCACTGAGCCCAGCCACTTTTTGCCTTTTATGACACTGTTGGCCTCACCACTTAGCCAGAAGACACAAAATCTCCATTTCTTCCCTAGACCCTGAAAATTTGGACCTGTTTACAATACCGTTCACATTCAGACATTTGCTCCACCTTTATTGCATGAAAAAAAATGCAGTTCTTTCCGTGTAAACTTTGGTCTGTTTGACTAAATTATCATTCCCTTGACATTTACTACAAAGGCAGATTCACTAATACCATAAAGCATTACTTTTAAATGCCTTCATGAGGAACTATTGCCTATTACTAATTTTTTCATTTAATACACAATAATTTCCTGACACTGTGAGAACAAACAGTAAAGATTCCCTTAAATACACACATACACACACACACACATACACACACACACAGATGTATCTTTTTCTACACACAATCTCTCTTCTGATCTCATTCCTAATAAAGCAGTTAAGGCAGCTTAGGGACCTGGTAAGGTAATTCCAATCACTTTATGTTAATTGCATTCGATCATAGATAACTTTATTTAAAAAATGAAAACTATTCTTGTGTAGTATCCAGTGGTCTGCTTTCATGCTCAATTAACTGAGACAGGAAATACAGCCTTTTATCAATAGCTGTAGGTTACCACTGCTCAAAAGAACTCTGCAAAAGATCTCAAACCTTCCTGCTGAGAGCTTTCATTATTGCCTACTGCCTTTTCTGCCCACTCCCCAACCCCCAACCTCACTTCATCACATTGCACACAACCCATTCCTTTATTCTTGGCATTGTAGATAAGGTAAAAATATAGGAAGAGGGCTCAAGACACAGTGCTGATTAACCCTATTCACAAAACCTACATTTCCCAGCTGCCACCAGAAAACAGTTGCTCAGAGCTGTCACCTCTGCAGAATTAATCAACATAGAACAATATCAACACACTCTATCTACTAAGCAAATAATAATATTGTGGTACTACCTGTATGAAAAGTTACACTCACACTCTGGTTTCTCTCTGAAATCTAAGCCCATTCTCACATCAGGCCTGTTTCTCCAGACCTCAGGTCCTGATATCCGTGTTCTATCCTTCTGGACTTACTCTTTGTTTGGATATATTTTCTGGTCCTGATTTTGTGTGTGTTTGTGTGTGTGTGTGTATGTGCATATATATATATATGTGTGTGTGTGTATATATGTATATATATATACTTCATTGTTATATCATACTTTATAAGCTAATTCAAATATTTTGTGGAGAGTATAAATAAAATAACCACTTTTTAATTATCTTCGTTTAATAATTATTTTTGAGAATAGATGAAATTATAATTCTGTCCTAATTCAATATAAATTTCCTCTCTCTATACAAAACTGGGCCTCCATGTCTGAGGGTTCTGAGTCTGCAACGAGGGTCAGCCAATCTCAAATAGAAAACTTTTTTTTTTTTTTTTTTGGAGATGGAGTCTCGTTCTGTCACCCAGGCTGGAGTGCAGTGGCACAATCTCAGCCCACTGAAACCTCCACCTCACAGGTTCAAGCAATTCCCCTGCCTCAGCCTCCTGAGTTGCTAGGGCATGTCACCATACCCGGCTGATTTTTCTTTTTTTAGTAGAGATGGGGTTTCATCATGTTGGCCAGGCTGGTCTCAAACTCTTGATCTCAGGTATCTACCTGCCTCGGCCTCCCAGAGTGCTGGGATTACAGGTGTGAGCCACTATGTCCAGCCTAGAATATGTTTTAAAACAAAAATAACAGTAACAATAATACAAATTTTAAAACTACAGTAGAACGACTATTTACACAGCATTTACATTGTATTAGGTATTATAAGTAATCTAGAGACAATTCAAAGTGTATGGGAGGATGCACATAGGTTACACTATTTTATGTAAGGGACTCGAGCATCTGTGGATTTTGGTATCTGAGCGGGGGTCCTAGAACCAATCTCTTATGCAAACTTAGGAACAACTGTACAGGGCTAACTCTGTGAGTGTGTGTGACAAAGAAGGTGTGTGAGTGAAACAACTCTTCCAGTATGTTGTCAAGTAGGCGCTTTAGGGGCAGTAAAAGCCTCAGCATCCTGAGGACAAGTATAAGGATGTCCCCCAGAAACAGTAAAGATTCCCTTAAATTATCCTAACATGATTCCAGCACTTCTTCCTGGAGCAGCCTGACCACATCTGCTTGTAAAGGTGACTCTAAAAAGAGTTTGCTGGCCAGGTGCAGTGGCTCATTTCTGTAATCCCGGCACTTTGGGAGACCGAGCTGGGCGGATCATTTGAAGTCAGGAGTTTGACAACAGCCTGGCCAACATGGTGAAACCCCGTCTCTACTAAAAATACAAAAATTGGCTGGGTGTGGTGGTGGGCACCAGTAATCCCAGCTACTCAGGACGCTGAGGCAGGAAAACCACTTGAACCTGGGAGGCAGAGGTTGCAGTGAGCCAGGATTGCACCACTGCACTCCAGCCTGGGTGATTAGAGTGAGACCCTGTCTCAAAATAAAATAAAAATAAACATATAAAAAGAGGGGCTACAGTATCCTTTGGGAAGCTCCAGCTCTTGGGCCATGCCATGTCCTTACAGTAGGGGGTCACACAAACTCAAATGGCCATAGGGTCAGACAGGTAGCACAAATGTCAAGCCACGTTTGGGTTAGTACGCAGGCAGTAACACACTGGAGTAAACTACTTCTCAGCTCCAGCAAGTAGTTACCACTTGCCTATGTATTGTCAGACTTTTCTCATTTTTCAAGAGTGGCTAGAAATTCAGATTTTTAAGTGAAACTTCAAGATTCTAAA